CACCAGCTCCCATGCTGTCTGCAGAAAGGGAGGAGGGAGAAGGGGGCTGGAGCTGGGGTTTGCTCAGTCTGCAGGGGAGATCCAATCCATGCTCCCCCACCCCCTCCTGCCACTTACCAGTTTAGGCTGGGCAAACCCTATCTTACAGCTCCTTCCACCTCCCTTCCTGAGGACAGCAGGGAAGTGGGGGGAGAGAAGCTGGGTTGGGCTGTATCAGCTCAGTCCCCCTGTGAAGTAGTTCCCTACCTTCATTTGATCCCTCTTTGAATGAGGGATTTGTTGCACAATCAGCCAGTTTTAAAGCACTCTGCAGCTGTGCACTTCTGTCACATCATGGCTGCAGAGTGCTTTCAGGGGACCAATCACAGGACACATCACTTCTGTCCCTGCCCAAGAGTAAATAAGATCAAAGTTTAATTCTTTCTTAGGAGTTACCTTGAACAAAAGAGGGAAGAGTCCTGACTAGCAGAAAATAGCTCTTATCAGCAAACTGTCTGATCCCACAGACATTCCAACTTTAAAGTCCTTTAAACTGACAGGGTTCTCAGATTTTATCAAGGGATATGCAAAAGAAAGCTGCCCCATTATAAAAATGAAGCCCTAAGCAGGCAGTGGCAGCAACAGGCTCCTGCATTAGCAGATCTTAAAGAAAAAAATATCTGGCACTGTTAAATGAAAGTATGCAGGTAATGATTTGTAATGTATTCTTTCCAGCTCTGTGTGGTGGCCTTCTTATTGAAGGGGAAATACATGAATGTCTCCAACTGAGAGAAGTAAACCATGGAAAAAGTGGTTTTGAAGGAGGGGAACTGTCTGGAAAAGTAAAAAAGAAACCTGGATAAGTGTGATGATTTGTTGACTCAGCTTGATTAAAAAAAGGTGGGGTAGGAGATTGCCAGGTATTTGGGAGTAAGCAGCACCTGCACATTGCAGGGCATCCCCAGAACTCAGGGCAAGTGAATAAAACAACCCACATTTTAAAAACCGCTTTAAGAAAAATAGTGAGCCATCAAAGAAAAAGACTGGGATTTAAAATACCCTTTAATCCTCGTGGCTCTGTGGAAAACAGTTTCTGCCCAGCATGGCAACTGCTGAGCCTGGACAGGTGAGTCTGGAGCAGGCATGGGGCGCGCTGGGTCAGGCCTGTGTGCACAAGTCCCCACCAGTACCACAGGGCTGGGGCCAGCAGTGGCAGCAGCCAGAAAGAACCACCACTGCCCGGGCTGCCTAGAAAGGCAGTCCAGCCATGGAACCACCCCCGATGGGACCAAGGGACCCACCATAGGCTGGACAAAGCCCTTCTGCGGGCTGGATCTGGCCTGTGGGCCATGTTTTTCCCATCCCTGATCTGGAGCCATAAGAAAACTGGGATCTTGCAGAGACATTTGAAATCCAAGCTGTTTAGATCTCTTAGAAATACCTTGCTGATCATCCTCTTCAGTAAATCCAGTCCACTTGTGTTTTTTTCACCCCCCTTTCCTGCATCAGTATCTTTTCTGTCAATTTTGCCATTTTGCCAGTCTATATGCTGGTGGGAGTCTGGAGAAGTAGAGTGATTAGTCAAGGGGGGAAGAACTTATAGCTTGAGCAGGTTCTTTGGTGCTTAACATCCAGTTTGGACATTCCCTGTATTCCCAGGTTTATTGGCATTGCAGTGTTATTTACTGGCCTTGTAATAGGAGATGGAGGAAGTAAAATTACAGTGGACAGTAAAGAGTGGGGCGATGTGGTTCACCATCCTTCTTTTTCTGGAGCAGTTTGATCTTCTAAGTCCCATCTTACTTCCTCTGTCCAATGTGATGGACCAGCGTGATCAATTCTAAATGGTGGCAAATCTACACACTCCTCTCTCACCTTGGTGTCAAACGGTATCAAAACAGAAACACATAAAACACATTGTTAAGATGCAGGAACGAAGCCCCAAAATACTGCCTCTGTCTGCTTAGACAGCTCGGCTCCCAAATCACCACATGCTGTCCAAGCTCATCGGAGCCAGCAAGATCCCAGAACGTGTATTGTGGCGTGGCAAGTGCAACACATCTATTCTGCGAACACCAGCCAGTGGGCGGCACACTTCCACACCGTGGTCATCTCCTGTTGCTGCTGTGTGCTGGCCATTGCCTGTGGGGGCCTCAAGGTTTCCATCTCCAGCAGGTGGCCCCACTGCCCACAATGCTGTCATTAATTTTAGTCCAAATTAAAAAGGAGGAACCATTACTCAGGAGCCCACACTGGCATCTGTCTGGCTTCCACTCCACTCTCTCCTCAGACAGAATATTTTATGTGGACCTGAAATGCTTTTTGAGTCTGTTCCCATTTCCAATTTGAGATTTTTGTTCTGTAAAGATCAATTTCTGCTTCAGAAGAACTTCTTTTCATGACTTTTAAATAAATAGTGGTCGACAGCCTTCTACTCCCAACAGATTCAACTTCTCCTCCTTGCTGACATTAGTGCTATTTTCCTATGATGCATGTCTGCCTCTGCTCAAAACTCATTCACTTACAGTTGCTATGCTGTTTTGTTAAACAGATGATATTATGTCTGTCAAGTGGTGACACTGCATAGAGCTGGTGGTTAACATGTACAGTCTGTTGCTGTGTTTTCATAGAAAAAATTGTTATATGAATTTCTAAGCGCAAGGGTTAGTATCTTACACAGCTGGTGAAATCACCTGCAGGAAGGGATCACAGTGCTGGTTCTACTAATCGAATTCCCTGTGTACACACACTTCATTTGGACTGAGAGCTTTTTAGATTTAGAATATGCATTTTACAAACTGGATTAGCTGAACTGAAATGACTACTCTCGTTCTTGATTGTGAGGACCCATAGTATATTCATAATTCTATAGTTCTGCCTGCCCATGACTGTCAACCAAGGGGTGCAATACTATCGAGAGGTGCTACAGGAGGTGGTAAGAAGCAAGCAGATGAATGCAGGCTCATGCTCTCCCTGCCTCACCACTCCCCTAACCCCACCACCTAAGCCCTCTGCAAAGAGAAAAGGACCAATACATGCATTAATTTTTGGAATGGGGTGCCACTTAGATCTCAAAAGTTATGGAGGTTCCTTGAGTCTACAAAAGTTGGGAACTACTGGTCTAGGTTATCAGCTTCTACCATCATACCTACAGAGGCATCATGACATGGTTGTGCAACACAAACAGCATAGACATAATAGTACTGGCAAACAACTGTACTTTTCCCAATGTAACTAGTTTCACTTTTTGCATGTGTTTTACTATATTAGTGTACCACTAGTTATGTTTTGTCATTAAAATGTACTAATATAGGCTGAGCTTCTCAAACAACATAGGGGAGATGTTTGCAATACATGTACGCAGCCTTTTTTGGGACCAGATACAGAAGAGCAGATCACTCGCTGCTTAGGGTGCTTGTAAGATAGCCCTGAACTCTGCATGGTGCCAAGAATAAACAGAACTAAGAAAAATATTAAGTGGAAAAATGAAGTGGTGAAAAACCCCAAGGCTGAAGCTTTCCAGAAATGGAGAGAACTGGAAAAAGATTTAAGCAAGGTTTCTCACACTATCACCAACCAATTACTGCGAGCAAAAAAAGCAACCAGTCAGAAGACATCTTTATTTCTGAAGCAGTTGGCATAGACGGTAAGAAATACATTTGAAAAAGATACCATTTATAATAGTACCAGGAGAAGAAAGCACCAATGACTGGATTAAAGGCATGCCAGGTTCTTGGTCGCATCAAAAATATGCCCTTACTGGAGGCCAGAAGACCAAAGAACCAAGACAACTGAGAAAGCTTAAAAGGCATCTCTAAGAGACATCCTCTACCTGACATGTCACTGCCACCACGCCAGAATAACCCAACCACAACTGCAGAAGTCAGAGACTATATAAAAATACCTGAAGTGGAGACTCACAGTCAACAATCTAGCAGTCAGTAGTTTGTCATTTATAACCAAAATCTTTTAAATGTGTTTCTCTATTAGGAGTCTTACCTCTACTAGAAGTCTAAAGTATCATAGAAGATTCAAGCATGCGTCCACCTCTCACATAGTTTTCCTAAAGACGTTCATCTCTGCCCTTTGAAATTGCTTATACTGGTGCTAAAGTTGACTGTATTTTAGCTGAGAGCTCACAGGGAGACGGACAACAGGTATCCACAGTGCTTGAACACCAAGAGAGGGGAAGTGGAGAGAAGACATTTCTGGGCGAGAGGCCTGAGACTTCTAAAGCCACTGGCACGTCTGCAGCCACCTCTGAAGATCAGCAGGATCCGTGTACAGGTTTCCCTCGCTTTGTGCTGTGCACGTGTTCCTGGAAAACAGCGCGCGACTCGAATTCACATAAATGGAACCCACTTTACAAGGTAACAAATAGGGATGTGTTTTGAGACCCTGACTGTACTGACCCCCAGACTCATTTCTACCACTTTTACAAGACAATCTCGGTGCTCACCAACAACACACACTGCACACAAGCGCAGGGCACTATCGTAATGGGGAGGGCAACTACAGAAACACGTGTCACAGGCAGCAAGTGAGGAGCACAGACCCGCACAGGAGGCTGTACTTAGCTACACTGCACTGCACAACGCAGCTGACTGCGGGCTTGCACCTCGCTGATTGCATACGAGCAAATTTACCTTCCAGGTAACGAACTTTTGGGATAAAAAGGGTCATCGCATAAGAGCGAATTCGCACGTACAGAACCCGCATCAAGCGAGGGAAACCTGCACGTGGCCTCTACCCGACTACGAGTCATCCTGGAAGCAGCAGCCCGTCTCTTCCCTTGTTCCTCAAGCCGTCCATTAAGCTCCTCGAACGGTGGCGCTCAACCTTGCGGCCCTGCACGCACACCAGGCGCACAGGGGCCGGATCGGGCCCCGGGGCTCGCCAGCTCCCACCAGCACCGGGTTGAGGCCCCCGGGCTGTCCGCCGCACTGCCTGCTCCGAGC